AAACAGCATCTGCTCCAACAGCATCTGCTCCAGCAGATTCAGACCTCTGGGAGACAAGGGAATACCATTGTAGTCCTAACCACAGTTCAGCCTCTTTCTAAAGGGTACTAGGTTCACATGCTTTTCTAATCACTTTTGGAAATTAACTGTTTTTTTCAACTATTACGAACCTTCAGAATGGCAAATTTGATACAGTGAATGAGTTTCCTTCAGCAAGAAAAGTTTTAAATATAATTAAGAATTTTTTAAAATTCTGGGGAATGGGGGGTAAACAGCAAAAGACTGATTAGAATGAGTTTGAAAAGTTATAAGCAGACTAGGGTCCAGATGGATTTAAATTAAGATTTTGAAATTAATTATGAGAATCCTTCCCTTGGGAAAATGTTGTTTTGAATTCATAAAAAAAAAATAGGATAAAACTTCAAAGGTTGGCCGCTAGAAGGAACTAGAAGGAACTAAATATTACAATTAAAGGAAAAGAACATTTAAATTAGGCTTACTAATATAGAATGGAGCAAAATACTTTAACATTGGATTTTATATGTGAACAATGGACCCAGAAATTAATATAAATATTATCTGCCATTATAGATAGACTGGGTTTAAAAGGTGTTATGTCAAAAAACAAGTTTTACTGGACAAGATTGAAAGTACCTGAAAGTGGATTTTAAAATTACAAGTTAAAGAATGATATAGAAAAACATGCTCATTGGATATAGAAATGAATCTGATTCATGTCTTAATAATTAAAAGTGGTATACAAATAACAAACCAAAAGAATAATCTGAATAGCTTTCCTATACTGAATTTACAAAAAAGACTTGTTAAAGAACTTCGTGAGAAGGGACAACAAAAAATAAATAAAAAGAAATCAAGTTCTAAAATGTTCTTTGAAAGAACTAAAGATTAAGATTGTTAAAAGTAAAAGGAAGGATATAAAGTTGGTTTATTTGGTCAAGGTTAAAAGATATGTTATCTCTGATAAACCTTAATGGACTTTTGCTGATCAAGTCTGAACAATGAGATTTTTAGATTTTGTTTATGATAAGATATGAGATATGAGAAGGAGAAATCATTTGATGCTCTGTTTCTTGAAGTTCAGCAAAATTGATTCTTCCTGACTTTACCAGACCCTTCTCCTCTCTCAGATCCTGTTAATTTCTTACTCATTATGAAGTGTGTGTGTGTGTAGGTTTTCTAGACGATATCATGGGTTTTGTGGGAGGGCTGTGTGAAATGACTTGTGGTATGGATTTATTTCCTGCTTTATGCTTGTTGCATGGTTATGCACCTGAACTACTGTTTGATGTGAAGCTCCTTGGGCTGGATGTTGAGATTCTACTAAAAAGCCATCTGGGTTATACATCCTACTTATCTGTAACATAAGAGAAATACCTGAGACTGTAACACTGCCATGGTTTGGGGATTGTTATGTGTGTTGGACCTGGTCTTTGGGTGTTAAGTGAACTTCGTTGTATGGGTATACTGTGTATACACATACAATGACAAAGTTATAACCTCCTTCTCTTGTTGTTTTCTAGCAGCTGTTTTTAAGATGTGCTGTTGGTGAACAGGAGGTGAAAAACAACCATCAAGATTACTAGCTGTAGATTGTTCAGTCCTCCACAAATTTGTATAATTCCCCCTTTAAAAATCTCAAGGGGTGTCGGTCAGAGTGAACTAAATTTACATGGCAGCAAATTTCAGTTGTATGTAGAAAAGTATTTCTTTTTAATTGGCCCTGAATCTCCTCGAATTTAGCTTAATTACCATTTCTGAAAGAAAGAATAGCTTGTAAAAGCTTGTACAAATGTATTCACATTTTTTATATTGGGCAAAAGTGTTTACACTTCCATCAGGTTGGATAGGGTGGGCAGGCCCCTTCTCTTAAATGTTGCCATCTATTGGGACCTAGGAAGTGTTCCTTTTTCCATAGCAGCCCCTCCCCTGTGGAATGCCCCTTCCCCATGAGAACAAGCAGGCTCCACCTCTTAGCCATCTGGAAATATGTAAAGTGCCAACTCTTCTCCCAAGTATTGGGTAAAATGAGGTTAGAGTCAGTTTGATATTGTCGGATGCATCAGGAAAGGATGGGTTAGGTGCCAGGTTTAGAGTTTATTTTTGGCTTTTGTTGTACATCCAGAGTTGTGTATCTAAATATAGACAGTCATATAAGTCTTATCAATCAATCAATCAATCAATCAATCCCTTATCTGCTTTCATCCCTATTTAAAAGCCCCAAATGCAGTTATTGTCTCTGGGACTGTAGCCCAGCAGTTCTCAGCTAGGGGCCATAAGGAGGCCCACAGGTGAAAAACTACAGCAGTGACATTTGTCATTGTGGTTCCCATTCACCATTAGACAGATCCTTTTGGATATCTTCCCAGTTGCTTTTTGTGAGCAGTTTTGTATCAAGATTAAACTGGGCCCACTGACTATCTCTAGCACTAACTTCCTTTACTGGACCCAGCCTAGTTTGATCATTCCTTCAATCTGAGAACTCTCCATTTATCCTTATTTTCTGGGCCCATTGTTTCTCAACCTTGACTACTTTAAGATACAGTGTATGGTTTCAATTCCCAGAATTCCCCAGCCTGCATATCTTAAAGTTGCCAAGCTTGAGAAACAGAAACACTGGTCTGGGCCAATCCTGTGGACTCAGAAACACATGGAAGTCTAGCGGCTTGTTTTATAAACAATAGAAAAAGGAAAAATCCATCTGTTCAGGCAACCAGCCAAATTAGGGACAGTTGTTTTTTTTTTAAGCCCTCTGTTTGCTTGTGAAAAGCAGTCCAAGCAGCACAGCAAGTATCCTCAATGGAGACGTCTCCATTGATCTGGGACCCAGGGCCACTCGGCTTGCTTTATGGTTATATTCAAAGTTTGAACATAAAATGCATTGAATCTGCATTTTCATATTGCTGTACAATACAAAAGAATTCTCCTTATCCTAATTCATTGTAAATTAGAGGAAGCACATAAATTCCCATTAAGAGTCGACTACAGGTTTGAATTGGGTGTTTTTTTAATTGTGTTTCTCAGTGCAGAGTGATTGCCAAGATGCTTTATATTAAAAATAAAGCAAGTGCAGTGACTGCTTATACTCCTTTCAGTTTTGCTGTTGTATATTCTGCAAATTTTTAATTCTAACATGTAATGGTAGGTTCTTGTGCAAATTAATAAAAATAAAAATATGCATGTTGCAATTCCAAATGTTCTGTTTTCTGCCCCAATTTCATGATGCAAATATTCAAAAGTGTGCTGAAAAGAATTCTTCACTTGTAGAAGTAATGCTTTTCACAATAATAATGCAGTTTGAATAAAATTCAAGTTTTGCGCAAGGAGAGCTGCTGGGATAGTCCATTCTGCACCGTAGTGCAAGTGAGCAGGGAAAATAATGACTTGTTTCATGGCTGTTTCGGAAATCCACATTTCCCTTTCCAGCCTATGAAGTTAACTCTATTAAAATGCATGCAGCCTTTGTAAATTCTAAAGCATGCTGCATGACACATCATTCTGAGCTTGGGGTTGTTTTTTTTTAGAGTACCATGCAGTTTGTATATTATAATTAGACTTGCATCATCTGTGACATTATCAAAGGACAAGAATTAGTGACAGTAATATTAATCCATCTTTTCATTCAGCTTGTACCATAGCACTGTTAAACTAGCTGTTTTCGGTATACCATATTTTCCTTTTTCTTCCCCTTATTTGCTGCTTTACTGATTTTCATGCAACTATAAAATATAGATTCTTATTTTCAATAGAATATGCTGCACATCTCTTTTTTATCCAAGTTTCAGTTTACAAGAGCTAAGTCCCAGGTTAAATTCCCAAGTCCAATGTATTTATTGCATATGTAACTCAGATTTTTTCCAATGAACTATAGGTTGCATTCGTATTCTCCTCCCTCCTTTCATTTACCCTTGAAACAATCTTGTGAAGTTCATTAAGCTAAGGCAGCAACTGACAGCTGGCTCAAGGATGCCCAGTGAATTGTCTATAATTGATTAGGAATAATCATTATAACTTTGCTTTAAGTATTTTAAACCAGGAATGGGAAATCTGTAGTTCTTCAAGTGCTGTTGAACTACAGCTGCTTAGTAGCCCAACCTAGCCCAATGTACTACAGTCTCCCTATCTTATTATATTAAACTGCCTTCTCATTGTATAACCTCAAAAGATAAACAGACGAACACCCTCACTATATGGTCCCAAAGTGTGCATTGCCATGATCTCCATCTTTGATCATCTTCCTGAGACTGCTCCTATCCTTAACATAAGGAATGGGCATCCAATACATTTGGAGGCTGTAGAAGCTAGGCCAGACATATGCAGTAAATGTCCTTCAGTTATTGTTCTCAACTCTTGTTAACATACACTAGCTTAGCAATTGAAGGGGCTTGGACTATGCAAGAGCACTGTCTACAGCAGAAGTCTTCAAACTTGGCATAGCTGGCTGGAGTATTCTGGGAGTTGAAGTCCACAAGTCTTAAAGCTGCCAAGTTTGGGGACCCCTGGTCTATAGCTAGGAAGAATGAAACTAACAAAGTGGCAACCTAGCTGCCAAGAAGGTTGGCAACCATCAAGGGGGGAAGGAGGAACAGAGAGAGTCTTCAACATCTATTTTCAAGGGTGGAAGGTCCAAGACATGATAGCAATAACAATTTTTTTAGTTGTTACAACTGACACCTCACAATATATTTTGTGAAACCTTTCTCCCAAATGTATTCTTTTACAACAAAACAAGTGAAACTGGGACACCTGTTTCTTATTCTTTGGCTTGCTTCATATATAACATAAAACCAAGGGTAGTTTTTATTTTTAAATCCATGGTTTGTTGAATAACCCATAATGACCCATTCACATATAATGCAAAAACAAAATTTGAGGCTTCTCACATCTTATGCACAGCCACAGATGGCTGAATGTTATACTGGACTGTCCTTTAAGAGCAACTGTGATTGTTCAGCCTGCCTCTCTCTTTTTCCCTGTCTAAGCTCTTCACTGAAGGCATCACCAACAAGCTAATGGCTTGTTTCACAGATGAGAATATGAGAGATGCAGTCCTAGTGCGGGTCTATGGCAGGAAAACAGAACTTATTGTGGATCGAGCCAATGAGCTGAGAAATTTCCAAGTCCTTCAGGACAACGGCTGTGCCCCCAACCTCTTCTGCACTTTTGAGAATGGATACTGCTATGAATTCATGTCAGGGAAAGCTCTGGGACCAGAACATATCCGTGAGCCAAGTATGTTCAGGTATGTGTACTTCCTTGCTCAAATCTATAAATAAAGCTGATGGTTATTATTAATTGCTCCCTGCTTTTAGTTTGGCCCCATAGTGCTATTGTGGTGTTATATCTAAAGTATTACTCAATTCCCAACTAAAAAAGTCTTAGAGATAATACAGAAAATAAGAGATGCTCAGGACTGTCTCATAGCTTTTGTGTAACAGTGTTTCAGTGTCCATCTTTTTTGCCTCCGTGGCAGAATACAAGCCCACCAAAGACCCCCTTTTTCCCCAGAGGTTTTCTGCTGTAAAAAAATTGAATGAATAAAAAGGGCTACAGCTGTTGCATGTTTTGAAATTCAGTGAAGATGCTTAAACTTCATTTTCATTTAATGGGAAACACAATTGGGAAATTATTTAGATCATTTATTGATCTTCAAATCAGTTGCACAGGAGACCACAAGGAGGGTTTCTTTTACAGATTTTTTTCCTAAAGTGATTTTTCCTTAGATAGGTTGAACTATGTTTCCCATTATCGCAAGGGAGATTAATACAGGCTGGAGATTATGGATGTCATTATCACATCTTTCTGGAGGTACTAGATTAAGGAAAGCTGTTTTAAAAGTAAGTAAATCAGAAAGCTACTGTCCCAAAATAATACTGTGAGAATTCCAATACCACATAATTTTGATCAATTACCATGGTACTGTAGTTAGCACAATCACTAGCACTGATTATGTTTACCTAGTTTGGATAATGAAATGTCTGCAAGAAAACAAATAAACTCGGAGAGCACCAAGGACCTCTCCTTTCAACCCTGAGCCACAATATTCTCCTGTGTTGGTATGTAATTAGAAAATAATTTGCATATTTAAAACAATATTTTGTATAATGTTCTCTTGGATCAGAGATCCCATATGCTAAATTTGGGGAATGTTCTGTACACCCCAATGGATGTAGAGCATCCATCTATCCAGAGTATTAAGTAAGATTTGTTGTCATGCTAGTTTTATTGGAACTGGGATACAGAAAGTAGAGTACAATATTTGCTGATTTTTGTGGGCCCATTTCAGGTGTCAGAAAATGAACTGGAGATATATTCGTGTTTCTTTTTTTATATATGCAAAATTAAGGGAAATTTGAAGACAAACTGTTTAAATAAACAAAAATAAATTAATTCAGATCTGGCTTGGTTTTCCAAATTAGTACTGATGATTGTTACCTAGTTTGGTAATGAAACATTTGCAAGAAAACAACGAAGCTCAGAATCCCCAAATTATCTTTTGTATGCAGTTCTAATTCATCTGTTGTGGTTTTAATTTGTAGAACTCAAAGTAACATACAGGATATTACTTCCTCCTGTTTTCCCCACAATAGCCCATTGTCTTGGACTAAGAGGAACTGGCCTAAAGTCAGCCAGCCAGCTTCCAGGGATAAGGGACAACTAAAGCTCCCAATCTCCCATGTCTTGTCCAGCTACTACATGAAACTAGCTCCCACTTTTGCTACATTAAAAATAGTGTATTGCTCTTGATTTGTTCATTCTTTGTGATTTATTTTAGGCTAGTAGCCCAGGAGATGGCCAAAATGCACAGGATTCACACCAATGGGAGTCTCCCCAAGCCTTGTCTTTGGCACAGATTGTACAAGTACCTTAATATTGTGAAAACTGAGTTTGACAAAAAGGCATCAAAAGCCAGGTAAAATAAATTTTTTTAAAAAAACATGAATATTTGCTAAATACAACAGTTTTGGTTATGACATTGTAATTATTTTAAGTATATAGTGCAAAATGCTGAGATAAGCAATGAGTCAAGGAAAGATAATTAATTTGTTCTCATTTAAAACAACCCCCCCCCCAATGATAAAAGTTATGGCCGGATCCTAGACAGTTTTTTTGAAAGTTCAAAATTGAAAGGATATACATGAATTTGTTGAATGAATAACCTGTTGTTGAAAACTGAGGATACCTATACTTGGTTTATCAGATTTGATTATGCTTCATAACCTGAGGCCCTCCAGATGGGTTATAGTCTAACTTATATAGAAAGCCAGGAGACAGAACAATTGGGTTTTAATACTGAATAATGTAGAAATATCAAACCGCAAAGATTACAGGTCAATGTCCTTTATGTTGCAGAAAAATTGACTCCTACAAATTTTACATGCTTTAGAGTAAAAAATTATATAGTTTAGAATTTCATGTAGAATTATATTGTGCAATAAATAACAGCACTCATTCTGAAATAGATATTTTTCTCTCTCTCTGAAAAAAACACCTATTTGCCTTCTGTGCATTTAAAGCACATTTATACTTTAGGTTACTATAGGGGACACCGCACAATACAACCCATCTTTTTGCAAAGTTTTTACAGCAAGGTGTATTCAGGCACATTTATTTCAAATATCCCAAGATTTTCACATCTGTGTATAACTGATACTGATTTCTAGGAGCATGCTTCTAGTTCTCCTGTCCAGTTTCACTTCTACTTAGTCACTTGCACTGATGGGCAAAAGGGCAAGAAGTCTGAGCACATTATAGTAAGGATTGTGTTTACTTTGCCATTCACTAAATACTTTCAAAAGAGAGTAGGCCTAAATCATCCATGAAAATTTGTTGTAAAACAATTGCCATGTTAGTATAAATAGTTTTTAACTATGGGTGAATACTAGGATCAGAGGTGGTTTAAGAGAAACTAGGAGAAGAATTACTACTGATGAATAATTTTAATTGATGAAAATTTACTATTTTAAATATTTATTTGGCAAATTCATATACATTTCATAGAGAATTAATTACTATTTCCTAATGGGGGCCAGCAACTAGAAAAAGTGAGCCTTATGTCACAAATCTTACTAATTTTTTTAAAAAGACTCTAGCAATAAGAAAGGTTTACTGTCTACCAGTGGACATGGCATCATTTTGTCTTCCTTCTCAAGCTTCCTTCAGGAAATGCAGATTCCTAGCCTAGAGGTGTTAGAAGAAGAGATTCATTGGATGAAAGAACATCTCTCCCAGCTTCAGTCTCCAATCGTCTTCTGCCACAATGACCTTTTGAGCAAGAACATCATCTACAACAAAGCCGAAGGTTTGTTAACCTTGTTCTCATACATGCATAATACTTGCAAACCAAGCATGGGTTAATTTTAGAACATCATTCAAGATAAAAATGACAGTTGCACATGATTTTTTTTTTCTTTTAGAAGAAGCCCCTCTATAGAAACTCACTTGCAACTATTTCTGGCTTTATGTTTTCAGGTCATGTCCGGTTCATAGATTATGAATATACTGGCTACAATTATCAAGCATATGACATTGGGAATCATTTTAATGAATTTGCAGGTGAGTGGATATCCTCCCCCCCCCTTCACATTTCCTGCATTTGTAGAAGTGGGAAATGTCTTGTTATATCTAAAATTGAAATACATTATGTATCACTTTTCTCTGATTGTAACAGCAGCAACTCATTACTTGCAAAAGGTGCTGCCCTTTAACCTGCTGCCAAGTATCTGCAGATCACTCACTTTGCTGACTTATTGTGCTCCAAGATGTGACAGTTGTTTCTGGGCTACTAGTTCCAGTGTTGCTTGCCAGCAGATTCAAAGAATGGAAGGCAAAGCTTGAATAATGCTAATTCTTACTTTTTGGAAAGTTTGCTTTAAATTACAAACTGCTGAGAAACAAGAATATCCTTAGTGATAAATGGCTTAGAGATTCCATTGGAGTTGGGCAGCCAATACATTTAAATACATGAATAATAGTATCTTAAACAGCCATTTTAGGTCACTATAAGATGATTTCCCTACCCTGATCATCCTTCTCCTCTCCAGCAATTCTGATTTTAAGGATGGATTTTAGAAACCAACTTCTTTTCAAGAAACTGCATGTAATTATCCAGACTGTATTAATTCTCTGATGAATGGGGGTTTTTTTAATACAGGAAATGACTGTATGGCTAATTAGGTCTGCTACCAGCTCAGCATGTACCATATCTATTCTGTAAGGATCATGAAATCTAAGCTGGGTCAAACTGGAAGATTTTCAGAAGAAAAATGCAAAAGTCATTAGAAAAGATTTATGAAGTAGCAGCATTTCTTCAGAACAAGCTGTTGGTTGCATGACTATTTGCTTCTGCTACACTATGAACTAGAACAGAATTGATATGATTGCAGAAGACAAGCAGGCTTGCTCAGTGTGATAGTCTACTCTCTGAAAACTACCTCCCTTGATTTTGCTGAATGACTTTTAACAAACTTCTAAGATATGTAGAACTTGGGGATACTATTTTGCACTGATTCCAGTAGTATTTGATTAAATGTTTCCAGAACACAATGTTGGATATTGCTCAGCTTCACAGCTTCCCTCGGGACCTTATCTTGTCCTTTAAAAAACAGAAAAATCTGCTTAATTCCAATGGAGAAGATAATTCAGAGCTGCATCTTATAATTAAGCCTTGGCTGGACAATTTAGAATTGTCCTTTCAAGGAAACTGTCTTGAACCTATATCTGAAATCAGCGAGAAATTGGATGTGGGCCAAAAGAAGCCTCAAACCAGTCAAATCTCCTTCAAGTGTTGCTTTTGACAACATATACTGAGGTACTGGCACTTTGCTGCCAATCCCTGTTCCCTGTGGAGATGATTTTGAAAAGGGTTTGGAAAATTCTGGTAGCGTAATAGTGTAACAGATGGATTGTTGTAGATATTTTAGAAGCTATTTATTACCAGGCTTAGAACAGCTATTCCCAATGCTTACTAAGTTCAGTTCAAGGTTGCTCTTTTAGATCTATAAATGGCTTGGGCCAGAATATCTCAAAGACTGCTTCCTCCCTTGTGAGACCGCTTATAATCTATAACATTCATCAGGAGTCCTGAAAGAGAGGCTAGGCTGGCGGATATAGTATACAGGATGTTTTCCACAGCACTGCGATGTTTGGAGCTTTATTCCAAGAGCAATTAGGATGGGTCCATCCTTATTTACTTTTATAGTCCAATAAAGAAGTATTGTTTGGTTAGACCTTTGATGTCCTCTGCTTGATGTGAAGCCCAACAAAAGGAAGAAAAGCAATGGGAAGAAAGGATTGAGCTGTGGTTACATTGATTCAAAGCTTTTCTTAGTTTGGGTGTTTTATTCATTCCTTGAATAAACACCTGGATTCATTCTTTGTAGCAAACTACAATATGAAACAACAGCTTATCCATTAGACTTCTTCTCTCAGCATTTAATTATTTCGATTCTCAGCTTCTTCTCCTCTAGCTCTTAAATCTCTCTCCTTGGTTCCCCCAGTCAAATTCCTTCAGTTTGTTCAAATAATGACAGAAACCATAAGGGTAGTACTTCCTTCTACAAACTTGTTTTTCCTTCTTCTGTTGTAACATTATCATTTGCAATTTCTTATTAATATGCAACAATAATACAGTAATGCATTGGGGTGTATAAATCTTAAAATCAATCCAAACTTCCCAACGGTCTGGCTAAATTTAAGCCCATGTATTTACTGGATTCAGTTTAACCCCTTTCCATCCAGTCTGACATCGACTGCACTGAGTCCTCTTGCCTTCTCTGCTCCCAGGGCTCAATGAAGTCGATTACAGCTTATATCCATGCAAGGAAGTCCAGTTGCAGTGGCTGAGGTACTACCTGCAGTCTTACAAGAAACTAAGCCCAGAGGACCAGGGAGAAGGAAACAAAAGCAGAGGAGGTAGTGGAGCAGTGTCTGAAGAAGAACTGGAGAGTCTCTATGTGCAAGTGAACCAGTTTGCTTTGGTGAGTATTTGCAAAATGATCAAAGGGTGGATAAAACAAGACAGACTATTTATTGCATGCTCTGAAAACAGACTGTCCAAGTCACATTAACCCAATGGCCATTTTTATATTTATAGTAATTTATTAATTAAAAAGAAGGCCACAGCACCATACTAATTGTTTGTTTTCTAATCTCTTTTCATCCTTTCATCTATTAGCTATTCGTATTTATAGATCAACCTGGTATCTTCTAGATGTTTTGGATAACAGCTGTCATATTCCACAGCCAATATGATTATTGCCAATTGAAATTCATTCATTTGGAAGGCACTCGGTTAGAAGAGGGTATTTATTCTACCCTGTAGTCTAAGCCTAAGCCAACAAATGTGTTTGCCTAAGAGTGGAGACTAGAACTGTAAAAGTCAGCTTCTACTTGCATCGATCTGTGTATGGTTTTTATTCCTGCAGTCCTAGGGGCAATCTAATTTGAATGTTTGCAACCATGAGGGAGCCTTGGTGGTGCAGTGGACTAAAGTGCTGTTAAGTAGCACTTAGCTGCTAGCTGCCTGCAATTACTGCAAGTTCAAATCTCTCACCAGGCTCAAGGTTGACTCAGCCTTCCATCCTTCCGAGGTAGGTAAAATGAGGACCCGGACTGTGGGGGCAATAAACTGACTTTGTATAAAAAGAACACCACTTGGGGGGGGGGCGAAAGCCCTACTAAGCAGGTATATACAAAAGTATGAAGGCTATTGCTTAATGCATTGTAAGCCGCCCTGAGTCTCCGGAGAAGGGTGGCATATAAATCGAACCAATAAATAAATAAATAAACAATAAATAAATGACTATGTAGCGCAATAGTGGATTTCAAAACCCGTTGCTACCGGTTCATTCGTGGGTGATCGCTCTTTGTCTGAAAGGCATCTTTCTGATATTTTGTTGTCTTTTCTCAGGCTTCCCATTTTCTGTGGGCTTGCTGGGGCCTGATCCAAGCCCAATTCTCTACAATAGACTTTAATTTTGCCAGGTGAGTCATTTCTATCTGCACTGACAGGACACAAAGAAGATGCTAGTGGTTTGTTTCTGCCTGGCATGGGGGTGGGGGTGGGTGGAGATACCAGTGACAATCAGTTTGCTATGTTGGTTGAGAGTCCTGATCATCAACGTAAAATGTTATGGTTGCAGTCATATAAGACTTACCTAAGAGCACTTCTGTGAGATTTACTTACATAAAAGTAATGTGAAAACCTTGCAATGATTTTAAGTCTTGATAGCCTATTTACCTCTAGCAATAGAAGTGGGAGCTTCCAGATTTCCATCTTGGTTAGAGTTTAATAAGCTGTCATTCTAGAAATTAAGCACATTTAGTGTTAATGACCTGTCAGTTCTATACCATCTGTCAGTTCTATGCCATCCAAAAATTTGTCTTTTTTCATGAGTTTTAAGACAATTATTGAAATATTTTGAAGCTTAATGACTTTTTGATTTCAAAGGTGGGCTAGAGAAACTTACACTGTATTGCGGTAAGACACCTAAAATCTCAATGCATTATAAGAAAAAATGAACTAACAACTTGTTGAAAATATCAGTGAAGAATCAGTTTTAATAGAAGTTCCTGATTCTTCCCTTGATGTCATTCACCCTTCTGCCCCACATAGTTCCTAAATATGGGCTTCACATTATAATCCTTACCATGGTTGATTAACTATACATGAAATGAAGAGAAAGATAAAATGAAACCAAATGTATAAATGAATAACCTGCTTTGTTTTCTTTCCCATGGTCCTCAGTTGCCTTGTGACCCATTGAACAACTGCTCATTTTAAATTTCCTGCAATTTTTGCAAGTTTACATATACATTCCCAATCACCTATACTTGTCATCATTTCCAAATAATCTTGCATGGGATTGGTATTTTATGTACTTTCTCAGCCACAATCACTCCTAGGTAAAAGTGAGTTTAGGATGTGGCCTTTGTCTTTTTTCTTATTACTGTAGTTAGTTGATAATGCATTTAAACCTATCCTGAAATCAAAAGTGGGGTCAAATGCTTAAATGCAAAGAATGTCTATGGAGATTCTCAATCATCCAGGCCATGGTTTATGGGGGCGACGAGGCGCTCCCATGTGACACCTCTCCTGCGTGAGCTGCACTGGCTCCCGGTGGTCTTCCGGGTGCGCTTCAAGGTGTTGGTGACCACCTTTAAAGCGCTCCATGGCTTAGGGCCGGGGTACTTACGAGACCGCCTTCTGCCACCAATAGCCTCCCACCGGCCAGTACGCTCGCACAGAGTGGGCCTCCTCAGGGTGCCGTCCGCCAGACAATGTCGGCTGGCGACCCCCAGGGGGAGAGCCTTCTCTGTGACGGCGCCCACCCTCTGGAACGACCTTCCCCCAGAGTTACGTATAATAACAGACCTCCGGATTTTTCGTCGGGCCCTGAAAACTTATTTATTTCAACTAGCTGGGCTGGCTTGAGCTAAATTTTAAATTGATTTTAAATTGGGTTGTTTTAATTACGGCCAAAATATTTAATTATTTTAATACTGTTTTTTAAATTTTGTATGCTCTGTTTTTACTTAGGCTGTGCACCGCCCTGAGTCCTATTTGGAGAAGGGCGGTATAGAAATTTAATTAATAAATAATAAATAAATGGTTGTTCCAAATATGCTTTTCAAAAGGCAACTGGATGGTCTTGCTTTTTTCCTTGAAAACATTTCTCATCCAAGAAGCTTCTTGGATGAGAAGCAAAACATTTTAAAGGAAAAAAACAAGAGACTTCAGTTGTCTTTTGAAAAACACATTTGGGACATCATTCAAAGACATTCACTTTTGATGAAAAGTCCACACTTCAAAGAAAAGGTCAAAAGCTGAGATAAATTCATATTAATACTTTAAGGGCATACCAATGGCTGTGCTGCTCCAGTCTCGTATTTGAGCAGCACAGCTGATGATTTTTATTATCTGTATGATTAGAAAATACTTCCTAGAATTATTAGGCACTTGGTTATCTGGGAATTGGGGTATTTGTGATTATTCTAGAAAACCTTTAATGCAAGAGAGACTCTTCATGTAATGAGAAATTTAGAGATAACCACATGTAGATTTTATGATAGATTTGAGAATCAAGAAGGGAAATTAAATGAGACATGGATTTAGAATAATTTTGACCAGAATTCCAGATTAGGTTAAATCAGATGCATTAGCAACAGGAAAGGAGTGGTTTGCATATAACCTGCCTTCTCTATTTTTAATTGTTCCTATGATTTTATACTTTTGGCTGAGAGTAACTAGATGGGTCAAGTCCCAAAGGTGCTTTTTCAAAAGGCAACTGGAGTCGTTTTTCCTTGAAGACATTTCATTTTTCATCCAAGAAGTTTCTTAGTCCCATTGGTATTTAGGTGGTTCAAGCTCATCTAAAAACTCCATATCTAAGTCAGAATCTGATCCCTGGTTTCAAGCCCTAGCCTAATATTTTCATTGCTATACCTTATTATTGTTGATGATATTTTTATAACAGCATGTAAAATCATCATCCTATTATGAGCATCATATGTGAATTATCAAAATAAGCATGTTTATAAAAAAATGTAAGAATGCATATAAATGCATGATAAGTATCAGTGTAAGAATTCAGTGTTTAAGTGCTGTAGATGTATGTGAAAGGAGAGACACTGGATAGAAAAGACATCTGCAACTTTTCTGGCATAATTTTCCATTTGTAGACACTGAAGAGCACCACATACTACGAAATCAATGTGTACAAAATGTTCCTAATATTTTACATAACAAATGTTTATCTTTGTATTGCTGTGTAGGTACGCAGACATAAGATTTAAGCAGTACTTTAAAACAAAACCTGTGGTGACTTCCCTTCAAATGTCCAAGTGAGGTTGAAGTCCAAAGAGTCTTCTGGTTCTCAAGATTCCACTCTTATTTTCTCTGGTGCAGAGCACCTGCCACCCTCTCCTCCTGCAGTGCTGAGTGGTCAGACATCATGAAACAGGGCTGGGAAAGAAAAACACACCTTCCACAAAGCCAAAAAATTCAACAAAGCCCCTGAACTTGGCTGCCGCATGTTGGTTTCAGAAGGTGATGTTATGACATGGCTGCTGGCAAGTGTTTCTGGGGCATATGCAGGAAAGATTCAAGGGCTTCTGGGCTTTATATGTGGGTGGCCAATAGGGGAGAAGGTTTGCTTAGAGATTTATATAGCCTTGAAGGTTATTGCTGGATCACACTTTTGTTCCTTGGCCAGAAGAAAGAAAACTAACAAGAGTTTTGTTTTTGTTTTTCAAGAACATGGGATTGTGGTCTTTTGGTTTGTGAGAATGGAGTAGAAACAATAGAAAGAATCCATTTTGAAATTTGCTCCACTCTCTACATGTATGGGTGGAGAGAAAATCCATGACTTAAAAGATTAAGACCCTGAAGGTGGAATAAATATTCCCACATGCATCAGTTTTAAAATATGGAACATTTAGGCTCAGGGAAAGTCCCAGTCCTTAAAGAGCTATTACAACTTTGGTCAAGCTTTGAGCTGATGGCCTCCCTGAACTATTAACTGGCAACAGAGACCTCTGTACTGAAAATTGTATTAGAAGTTGTGGGCAATTTCAACACCTATATTCTGAAAGTCAAACAATGTAGGCAACCTCAGATTATGTGTGCATATAATTCACACAGTGCCACTTTGAAGAGAGCAGATGTTACTACCTAAAACCTAATGTGATGAAAGCACAAAAGTCAGAGTACTTTTTGTAAAGAATAGATGTACCAAATTTATGCAATACTCTATTATTGTAACGGCCATATGTGAAAGAGGTTTACCCATCTCTCCCCACCACAAAATTGCATCCTGTTTCAAATGGTACAAAGATGATTGCATTTCCATTAATGTGTTGATTTGCCCATAGAGTCTTCTGTAATATTACATTGTGCCATTCAGTATTTTGAGAAGGTGAACTCCATGAAACTGAACATTTTAATAACACAAATATATAAGTAGGGAAGTGTAATTCATGTTGATGTAGCACAGGAAAAAGAAAGCACGCCAATAAAACTTGTTAACAAGGTTTTTACCCAAGTTTACTACCTGCTTACCAATTTAGTGCAGATTTTTGCCACCTGGACACATCCAAATTCAGATAGTAACTCCAAAATTACCAGCCATCCTCTGGCTAAGAATTCTAGAATTTGAAGACTCATTTTATCTAAAGACGGCTAAATTAAAGCTATTTCAGTCATATATCAGAGGAAAAAACTTATGACTGCATCGGTATAAACTATGACATAGACAGTCTGGTCTCTTTCAGCCAATCCTTTTATTTTCCAACTTTACCTTGTATATAAATAAATTTTATACCCTTTATACCCAGGAAACTAGAACCAACCTGAATATCCTTTATGAGTTGCATGGAGCTCACACTGTTATGGTGCTTTATCTTCAAGATCATTTGAGTTCCTTTGGTTAAAGGGCCACATTTATACATACCCCCTACAGGTTCTCCAGTCAGAAGCAGACTGGCATTTTCTGCATTATCCTATGACTGGATAAAACTGAAGTGTGAAGGCATAATGGGCATGAAACTATTGGTATCAGTCCTTGGGTCTCTATCTGAGGCACTGCAATCAATATAAAACATGTCATTTTACACATTGAATTTTCTTTTATCCACATTTTCTATCAGATGGGTTTTTATTTTACTCAGCAAGCAATTACTAGAATTAAAAACAGATGACCTCTCAGTTCCTATGATGTCTCTTCAGCTTAGTTATGAACTTAAATGATTGAATGTTCACTGAATTTGTACTTCGGAGCAAAGATGGAAACAATAAGCCTCCTGCAGGCTTGTAATTGCAATGCTATTATAATTAATTTCCTAGAATCTGATTTCCTGTAGTTTCCGCATAGTAGGATAGCTGGTGCAGAATTGCTGTCAAGAGAGGGCATTTAGTATCCTTAGGAAAGGGGACAGTCAAGCCAGTATTTGCCAGATGCTTTGCATTTACTCCCACAAGCTGCAGCCCATGTTTCTGGTGGTAAGATTTTATGGAATTGTAGTCCAAAATTTCCAGTCAACATAAGATTGCCTTATTTCTGTCTTAGACATTTATGTGCTTGGATAGTATTTACTTCATTTTCCCTTTGTAGAAATGCTTTGCTTTTTTAAAATTTATGTTAGCCTTTGAACAGTTGGATAAAAAGTGTTGTATGTTTACATTTGCTGCATTCCTGATCCAGCCATTAGCCCTGATTCATTATTTATCTCTATACATTTTCAGCCTTGTTATATTGCCTTCTTTTTTCCCAAAACATTCCATTCAATCACTATCTTGGTCTTCCCCCTTTTCTCAACCCATTCACCCTTCATGTTTATTGTGTGTGTATGTGAGAGAGAGAGAGTTGATCCTCATTCATTCTCTGTATGACCAAGCCATCTTCATATACTTCTTTTGCAATATCTATTTACTTTTCTGTGCACACCACATTCAGTGAGCATCCTCTCATTCTATATTCTGTCTGTGTTTGACTTCAGATATATTTTAAGCACCCCATACCTGGTGCATTCAACTCACTTTTATATTTCTGTTGACATACCCAATTCTCACATCTGTGTGACAAATTGAATGGAATACAACCAACTTCTCTTGCTGCTTTTGACAAGCATCCATTCTTCACAACAGACCATACTCACTATCTTTTCATCACATTTGTACACCTTATCATTTCTTTTTCCAGTTTTGCATCTGTAGTTCACCTTCCTGTGGTGTTTTAGATGTGTACCTGTAACACAATCATTGCAATCATTCATTCCATTTTCATTATCAAGAACAACTACCTTGGTCTTTATTGCATTAATGTTCAGATAACTACCAGCCCCCCAAATGTATAGTAGAAAGCAGGACAGCTTTTTAATTATAAGGTATCTCTAAGCGTTATGAACACGTCCTCCAAATTGAGTTAAGGAAATGAAACAACTGAAGTAGTTCTTTGATGTTTCCTATTTATAAATGTAGCTATTTATTGTTATTCGGTAAATAATAGTTACATAACTGATCTTGTGAAAATTGGCCAAACCCTATGTTTTATGATAGGACCACACTAAACCTCACTGTATCTAACTAGCATGGTTTGAAATCCTTCAAGTGAATTTGACTTCAACTCCCAATAGCCAGTATAGACAATGCATTATGGGAGGTTTATACAGAGGCAGGTATAATTTGTGAATGTAAATACAGGTAAAGAAAAAATGTATAAGATCTTGTCCATGGTCACTTCTTATGACAATCATTATTTATGAACAAAATCCATGAACTTCTGCCTTCTCAGTACTTCTGATCTCATATGCTGTAATGGGACTGACTTCTGTTTATATATAATCCTTCCAAATAATGGGGATGTTGGAGGATAAAATGGATTAATTGGATGGATATAATGAGCAGGATCAGCATAGTACAGCTGTGGAGGAAGGATCAAGAATAGCATAAATCATCTTACTGGCTCGGAAAACAAAACACATGACTTCATTGTTATGCTTCTACCCCTCTTAGAAAACACTTCCCCTTCTCTTTCTTAATTGACAATAGGACCTCCTTGGTCACTTTTTTTTACAGGCCTTTTCCTTTAAAGGTGTCCTGCTTCTTTGGCCTGTTCTTACCAATGCCTTCTGACCCTCTCATTAAAGTCTGCTTTTCCCACTTTTTCCTTCCTCCATCTCTCTTACAAGCAAGATGTTGACTTCTGAATAAACCTCCAAAACCACAACATGCCAGTCAGGGGACACAAGAAGACATTAGAACTTTCAGACCCAGAAAGTTCCTACTGAGAATTTTCCCAGGGCAAAAAGAGCAGATCCTTCAGCCATAGCTAAATTTCCTTCACCCCTGATGCAGCAAAAAGAGAAGCTTTCTCATCTGGGCAAAAGTATTATGACAGGCCTCCAGAGGGCATCAAAGAGTAATGAATTCATCCTTTCTTTTGAACCAGTAGCTGCAAAGGGCTGCTTATGAACCATTTCCCTTTTTCCCCCCAGTAGCAGCTTTTCTACCCTAGGCAATTTTTATGACATTCTAATTCTATGTTTTCTTAAAGGAGCAGAACGTCTTTGTCAGCAGCCTTAGTCACTGATGATTGACCCCTGATAGTTTGGACAATGAGATGAGGTGGAACTAGGAAAATGAGTTAAATAATAGGGAAAGGGCTTCCTCATGTGTGTGGGGAAAAAGATTAGCCTCAGACTGGAAAGTTTAAGAAGCTTGTAGTATGCTGAAGTTAGATGGTCACGACAGGGTGAAGAATCTGTAATAATCTACATAGTATCTGTCCTTGATTCATTGGGAGGGCAGGAAAAATTCATAAATCGTGCTATTTTTTGCCTTTCAAGATTATTAGGTTGAGTGATAAGTAAAGCTTATCGCTCATATTTAGAAGCTTTCTGGGTGCAGGGACCTCTGTGGAGGAAATTCTTAGAAGGGATAGTAGAAAAAAATGTTAAAAGCCAACATTGCCCCCAAACAATCTCAGAATGGCTCATGATTGTCCTGACTACAGTTCTTGTAGGAATGGCCAGGCCAATCTCTGTTCCCTCCATCCAATCACGGAGTAGAGAAATGGGATATTGAGCAGCAACATCTCCTCCCTCTCTGCCCCTACCTTTTACTTTGCTGTCTTTATTCTTGAGGAGGAAAAAAGCAGATGAAAAGTCTACATGCATTATGATGCTTTCACAAGCAAGGGAGGTGGTGGAAGTGGAGAGCCACGAAATTGGTTCAACAGTGGGCAAACAGTTTGCCCATTTAACCCTGACTTCAAAATGGAAATGTTTTTATTTGAATTTCTAGGTAACCAATCTGCCCTTTTTCAGAAATAATATACTATATAGGAATTGGAGCCAGAGTGTGGATTGCTGCAGCAGCATAAACAGTACCAAAGCCCCATGGAGCAGTGTCATAAATTGTATCATTCCCCATCTTCCGAGCAAGTAGGAGGCTTAAGCTGTCTTAGACATCTCCACACATCAGACCAAGATGGAACCCGTTGTCAGGATCTATGTTGCACTGTTTGCATACCCTGT